GAGTTGTAGCTGTGATTTCCCCCTTCCCTATCCCTCTCTGTGTCCAACCCATTCGCCTAGCAGCCATCCGTCCGTCACCCGTTCGTTATCTAGCCTAAGTAGGATTCAGTTTACAACACGCAAGTTTATAAAGCAATACGACTGATATTAATATTATTATCATTATTACCATTATTTTCTTTCTAGAATTTTTAAGCCCTTGATTTATTCAAAAAATACATGTATATATTTCATTTTCTTATTTTGTGTGTGTGTGACTTTTAAAAATAATTTCACAAAATATTGAAATTAGTAGGAGTAAAGAGTATTACTTTTTGATATACTGCCCTCTTTTTTTCAGATAGAAATCTAAAATAATTAAGAGAATTATTGTTATTACCATTATTCTAGGACTGATCACGAGGTGTTTCGTCCTAGTTTCGGATTCTTCAGCATTACGCATGCACCTACCACCATGGTTCGAATTCACGACTTTCCTGTCATAAGGTGAAGTCGTAAATCATTCAGCCAATGGGACCTGATCCATTGGCCAGTGCGTGAATTCCAACTTCTTCCAATAACTGATATATGTATATAAAGTTAGTGCAATACTCCATGAGTTCGCTAACTCTCTTGTCAGTTTGCGATCAGTCTTGTAACAAATCAAATCACAGCAAATTAATACACCTCAGTTAATCTGATACTCAACACCGACTGGTTCTATCACAAGAAGTCACCAGCGATTCTAGTGAGAAGTCATAACCAGTGAGGTCCACCAAGTCGGATAAAACGATGGTTACTCACCTATGACACTGGCTGGTTGTAAGGCTAGATATTTTTGATTGCACACTAGTCATTAACTAGTGTCATGTGTCTAGTCCAATCTTCACTGCAGACTGAATTCTATCAGTCAAGCTTGCAATGTGGCTACTATGCTAGGTGGCTAGCCATTACGGTGCACTGTGAGATGTTGGTATTAGATAGTTTGGAGGCAATCGGCCACAGGAAACCATGGACCTAGGTTTCGTGCTAGTTGGCACTCACCAACCAGTCAGCAAGGCGTATCTGCAACTAGCCTGAAGGAACTCATGTCTCTTCTGAGATTCGAACCCGTGTCACCCAGTGCTACAGTCAAAAATATCCAATACAGTCCCACTGGAGGTCAATTGCGAGCTCGAATAGCTCAGTGGTAACGTCTCCGACTGCAGAACTCACTGGGGGACGCGAGTCCGAATCTCAGAAGGGACGTGAGTTCCTTCAAAGTCGCAGATACGCCTTGCTGACTGGTTGGTGAGTGCCAACTAGCACGAAACCTAGGTGCATGGCTTCCTGTGGCCGATTGCCTTCAACCGTCTAATACGAAGGCAGGTATAGATTACGAATTGGCAGAAGTTGGAATTAATGCATTGATCATTGAATTGGGTCCCAGTGGTTGAATGGCCAACAAGCTCTCCTCATAACCTGAAGGTCCTGGGTTCGAACCGTGGTGGTGAGTGTGTACTACTGAAGAATCCCAAACCAGTCTGAGGAAACAGCTGTCTGGCAACAGTACTCCCTGATGGTTTCCCAATGATTCTCTAATTGACGTCAGTCATAATCAATCATGTAACCAATCAAATACCTGGGATACTAACACTTTTGAAAGAAATCTACAAACATGAGATCAAATGAAGAGCCTATTGCCATGTCATCTGCTTGTTTGTAGAGTACATCATTAAAATGTCAAATTCACAGTCATGATACACTTTTGTCTTAGGATTTCCAGAGGGATCCCAACGTTTACTGACTTGTTAACCGTTTCAGTCAGAGAGGTGCATTTGTAAAAATAGAGATGTTACGTCCAACGAAATCATATTTTTATCCTTGATATTAATATCTTGAATTCTGTCTATGAACTGAAACACATTCAAGTATTAATTTGTAGGGATTTGGTTGATTGATTACAGGATTTCATCATGAACTGACATTGGTTATATGACCATTGGAAAACCTGGAATACTGGACAGCTGTTTCGCCAGCCTAGTTAGGGACTCTTCAGCAGTACGCGCCCATCCGGGCTCTCTAACCAATGTCAGCTCATGATAAAATCATGTAACTAACCAACCAAATCCCTACAAACCAATACTTGAATATTAATGACATGCTCACTGGCGACTGGCCCTACTCAGGTAGGCAGTTACTTGGGTATCTAGTGGGAAGTCTTAACTAGTAGCGCGCATCAGATCGGGTGTGAGAACAAATACCCGCCGCAGACATTGGCTAGCGGTTGCGCTATATCATGAATTGGCAGAAGTTAGAATCCATGCACTGGCTGGCCATTGGATCGGGTCCCAGTGGCTGAATGGCATACGAGCTAACTAGCCTTGTAACCAGAAGATCCTGGGTTCGAACCCTGGCGGTGGGTGAGTACTGCTGAAGAGTCCCAAACTAGGCTGACGGAACAGCTGTCTGGTAGTATTCCCTTTTGGATTTCCAATGGTTCTCTAACCAATATCATCTCATGATGAAATCGTGTAACTGAAACACATCTATCACACTACATTATGTCACTAGATGTTCATGTTAAGGTTCTTAGAATAATTGTCAACCGTTTACCTAAAGTATAGTATGGCATATTTTACATTTTCTGTATTATTATTATTGCTCCCTTGGGTTCCCAGCGGAACATAGGGCTTCAACTACACGTCTCCACTTGCCACTTCTGTCTTCCTTCTCCTGTACTTTCCACCTGCTTCCATGTTAGTCTATACTCTTTCAACTCCTCTCTCTTCACACCATCTCCTCCATGCCACCCTTGCACTGACGACCCACTCGCCGCTTCTCTTTCGGCCTGGTTCCACACGAGCAATGGCCTGACGCACGTGGGATGTCACCCAGCGGCGGCCTCCTCCCCAGCGAGTGTCCAATCCATCTATCTCCACTTTCTCCTGCATATTTCTTATTGTTGGACGATTGGTTCTTGTTTTGTTTCTTCCCAGACAGAGTTTCTTGTTGTTGGTGATTGTTTCCGGCCCGGCCATCCGATCTTCAGTATAGAGCCAGCGAAGACAGTTGTTAGCTGATAGACATCTGCAACAGGCTATTGGAAATATTCTTTGTGACCCACCCACCAAGTTTCTGATCCGTATAGAAGAACTGACTGACTTGACGTGTTTGTATTGAAGATCCGACTGAATTTTGTTGTTGATGCTGGCTGAGTGAAGAAGATTTCCAGATTGGTTGTTTCAGGTTGATGAATGTGTTTCTCGCCTTCCCGATTCTCGATTTGACATCCTCCTCCGTTCCTCCTGTCTCAACTACTGGAGGAACGGACCTCGCCAGATTACTAGCTTGCTGGTTTTCTAGCCACTCCCAAGCCCGGATAAAGAGGGAGGGTTGGGGCGTGGTGCTAGCAACTCCACCCCCGTAAAACAACCAAATTGCTACAGAAACTTCAACGAATAAATACATTTTCTGTAACCGGTGTTAACAGCATCTCAGGTTTATGTATTTTGGGAACGCAATATCTATGTGCCTATGGATCTCAGTCCATATTATAAAAGCTAGCAGAAGGTATATATATTCTTCCTTTAGTTTCTTCAAATATTATTTTTGTGAATTATTGAATTCATTTTGAACTTTCCAGTTGATTGATTCGACTGAAGTGTTTAGCTTCAGGTTGACATGTCGGCTGCGTGTGAAGAGGCTTTGACGATGTCTGATTATGTAACTATGAAGTGAATTTATGGATGAAGACTAGCCTTGGAACCCAGGACAATTGGCATTTCATCCTATTTTGGAGCTGCATTCCGCAATGCGTTAGTCAGCTATGGTATTCCTACTGAGGGTCGAACCCAGTTCCTATAGTTTCAAACGTCAAGGTGTTTTATGCACTAGACCACTTTGGCCACCAGTTTACTTCAAGTTGAATAATAATAAGACATCTTTGAAGCATCTTCACAAAGAGCTGGGTTCGAGCATCCAGTGACTGGGGAATGCAGGTACATCCAATTAACGAGTCCCAGATAAGACAAAATGCTGATTGTCCTAGATTCCACTGCTAGTCAACATTCACCAGTTTACTTCAAATTATTTTCAATTACCACAACGTCTACAAATGGAATAAACGATTAGACCTGTTCCCAATCCAGCCATATCCTGGGGTTCTAGTTAGAAGTCATGACCAGTAGGGTACAGCAGGTCTGGTGTGAGGATAAATACTCGCCGAAGACATTGACTAGGGATAGCGCTATGTGGTGAATTGTCACAAGTTACAATTCATGGGCCACTGGATCGGGTCCCAGTGGCCTAATGGTGTACGAGCTCGCCTGGTAACCAGAAGGTCCTGGGTTTGAACCCTGGCGATGGGTTCGTACTGGTGAAGAGTCCCAAACTGGGACGAAACAGCTGTCCAGTACTTTCAGCTTGTTTTCCAATTGTTCTCTAACTAATGTCAGCTCACGTTGAAATCCTGTAACCAATCAAATGCCGACAAACCAACACTTGAATATTCTCAATATATTTAGTCGTCTAATCAATTCCTTACATTCTCAATAAAAAAAATAGCCGGAGCTTCAAGTATGAGCTTTGAAGTTTCAACAGAAATGACGTTGTTCTATTCTATACGTCGAAGGTTACTAGTCTCCCAGACAACCTTCCTATTTTTCTCAGGTTTTTACACTTAGGTCCATCAGGAAGCGAACCCGGACTATACGCGTGGTTGGCGAACATTCCGCCGCAAAGATTACACTATTCCATTTTTGATGAATAGCGTCGGTGGCATAGAGATAGAATGCTCGCCAACCGACGCACTTCACAACTTCGCTAAACCATTAATTAGACTGATAAATAAGGAAGGTTAGTCAAGAGGTCGTCAGCAACCCCCATCCCACAAAAATATACACCTCTGATAATGAAACTTTAAGCCTCTAGCTTGAATCCGCCCTCTCTTTCACTGGGAATGTAAACGAATGTAGTTGAGTTTCTCTTCTCATGTACATATATTTGTGTAAAAGTATTCTGTCATCTTTTCTCTTTTTCAGATGATGAACTTACCCCCAACCCCCCGGAATGTAGAGCTCAAGTTCAAATCACACATGTGAATATTTCAAACAAAACCACCAACAACAATAACAACAAAGATTTCCTTCCTGAATCGTCATTATAATTTCATATTGCTTTATATATTGTATGGTACCTATTGCGTCACACGTTTTTATTTCAATGGTACTTTCGATTTCTCTTCCCCTGGTTGATTCCTATTAACATGTGCTCTGTAAATTGCCCAAAAACATATATTTTTTACTGTGTGGTACTCAATACATCAGTCCTCGTAATTAGAACAATCCTGCGAAGTGTATCTACCAATCTCTGCGTAACTGGGCTTTGTTTACTTTGGTTTCTGCGTTACAAATGCCTGCTATTCATCTGTGCACAAAGGAAGGGTAACAGACTACTTATAATCCTTTATCAGTAGTAGTATTACCAGCAGTACACCGTGTAGATATAATTATATGTATTCTGAGTCGTATTCTAATAGCACATATCTCACTCTATCATATATACACCACAGATATTGTGGACTGTCAATCACATTAGCTATTCTGTACTGCTATCCTGACAATGATAGATAGATAAATAGATAGATAGACAGATAGCTCTTGTGCTGTAAAAAGGCATAAGAAGCTGTGATAATCTGTAAAGCATCCTTCTAATCAATAATCCTCCCGTCCGCCCCCACCCTTACCCCCATCCCCGCTCCAGCACTTCCAACCTTACGCAATACTTGTCTCTCTCATTCGTCTTTAAGACTGCTATGTTTTACTAGTGTATATTATACACAGATGGCGATTATGTAATCTACCCTGTGAAAGTATGCTTCATTAACTACGAGGACTAGTGCTTCCTTGTTTCTTTTGTATTGGCATTACTGCTTATCTATCTGTCTATGATGTCTTCTTCTGATTTTATTCGCTATTATGAATTTTATTCTTTACGTGATATGTCTATGTTAACGTAATTATATTAATTAATAAATACAATGATTACAATATATAATTGTTATTATTTGTGTAGCGCGAGTTTATTAACTTGAAGTCGATTACTGTTATTAATGTTATTAATTCAAATTTGATCAAAAATGTCTGGAAGGGGGAAAGGTGCCTACTGACTGGATGAAAGGTTAACTCGTGAAACTACCGAAGATTGGCGACTTACGCCAAGTAAAGCCCTGAGTCGCATCATCCTGGAGAGATTAAAGGACGCACTGGATACAGAACTCCGACCAGAACAAGCTGGATTCAGGAAAGTCAGGCGAATCATGTACTGACCAAATTGCAACTCTACGCATCATCATCACAGAAAAAACCATGGAATGGCAATCAAACCTCTACCTCAACTTTATAGACTTTGAGAAGGCCTTCACCAGACAGCGTTGACCGCGAAGTAATTTGGAAACTACTTGAATACTACGGCATACCTCAAATATTCATCAACCTTATTCAACAGCTGTACGACAACGGCACATGTCAAGTAATCCGCAACGGAAAACTCAGCGAGGCGTTTGGAGTAAACACAGAAGTCAGACAAGGGTGCTTATTATCACCCACGATGATATACCTAATTGTGGTGGACTGGATTATGCGTCAGACTGTGAGTGGGAAACGAGAAGACAGGAATATCCTGGACCGACGTGAAGAACCTAGAAGACCTGGATTTCGCTTGTGGATGATTTATGTTTGATGTCACACACAATCGAAGACTTACAAGCGAAAACCGATAAACTGGTCGAAGAAGCAGCCGGCGAAGACAGGACTCCAAGTAAACATAGACAAGACGGCGATTACGAAAATAACCAACCAACAAAAACAACAACAACAACAGCGGCAACATCCAGCGCCAATCACCACCAACGGGAGGGATTTGAAAGAGGTTACTTGATTCACTTATCTAGGGAGCACTGTCTCAACTACAGGAAGTCGGAACGGACGAGGATGTCAAATCGAGAATCGGGAAGGCGAGAAACACATTCATCAACCTGAAACAACCAATCTGGAAATCTTCATCACTCAGCCAGCATCAACAACAAAATTCAGTCGGATCTTCAATACAAACACGTCAAGTCAGTCAATTGTTCTATACGGATCAGAAACTTGGTGGGTGGGTCACAAAGAATATTTCCAATAGCCTGTTGCAGATGTCTATCAGCTAACAACTGTCTTCGCTGGCTCTATACTGAAGATCAGATGGCCGGGCCGGAAACAATCACCACCAACAAGAAACTGTGGCTGGGAAGAAACAAAACAAGAACTAATCGCCCAACAATAACAAATATGCAGGAGAAAGTGGAGATAGATGGATTGGACACTCGCTGGGGAGGAGGCCGCCGCTGGGTGAAATCGCGCGCGCGTCAGGCCATTGCTCGAGTGGAACCAGGCCGAAAGGGAAGCGGCGAGTGTGTCGTCAGTGCAAGGGTGGCATGGAGGAGATCGTGTGAAGAGGAGTTGAAAGAGTATAGACTAACATGAAAGCAGGTGGAAAGTACAGGAGAAGGAAGACAGAAGTGGCAATTGGAGACGTGTATTTGAAGCCCTATGTTCCCAAGGGAACAATAATAATAATAATTCAAATTTGATCACGGTTTGATGTTGTTTGGAGAACCAGCGAAGATCAACAGGGAATAATGAACAGTCATCCATTTTGGTTTAGTTTGAAAGTACTCTTCAGTAGCTTCATCAGGTAGCGAGTCTAACACCTTTAAGTAACCAGTAACAAAATAGGACGTAACACGTAGCTGCCTAGTACTCACCGTTGGCTTTTAAGTATCCTTTAATGGTAACACTCAGTTATAATTTTATACATTTATCAAATCCAGCAATCTACACTTGGTTGGTTTTGTTATCTTTTTATAAGTTGATCGTGGATTGATATCAGTTAGAGAATTATTGAAAACCACTTATGGAGTACTGGACAGCTGTTTCATTCTAGTTTGGGAATCATCGGTGGCACACATGCGCCCAATGGGGTTTGAACCCAGGGCCTTCCGGTTACAAGGCAAGCTCATTGGCGATCATTCAGCCACTGGGACCCGATTTCATGGCCACTGCATGAATTCTAACTTTTACCAATCCCAGTGGGTGTGTACTACCAATGATTCCCAAACTAGTTGGATGAAACAGCTGGCTCTCCAGTACTCCGGTACTAGTTTCCAATGGTTCTCTAACCGATATCAATCCGTGATCAACTCGTAAAAACAAAACTAAACCTTACAAGCCAACTATAGAAAATTTGTTATCTTTACCAACTGGCCAACTGGAGGAACGATGATTAAGCTGTTATATACAGCACGCTGAGATTTTGTACATTCTGGTTTAATAATACTGCTTTAATAAAACTATTAGCAGCAGCATTAAATAGCGAAACGTCAGTAAAAACGGTAATTTAGTTTAGTTTTTCATTCATTGGGAAATAAGATAAAGCTTTTATTACAATGAATATCATATACCCAACGCCTAAATTTTTTCAAACTGTTAAAAGTGAACTTGGTTTGGACATATATATATAAATCCTCTAACTGATATCACTTCTCGCGATCATACTTAAAACAGATCAAATCCTTAAGTGCTAAATCTTGAGAATCAATTTGACGTCCACTAGTGACTGTCTGACTAACTGACTCACTGCAACTCCAGTAAGAAGTCGTGACCGATGGAAGCCTACGAGGTTAGGTGTGACTACAAATACTTACCGATGATATTGGTTGGTATTCGTGCTATCGCAAATATCACGAATTGATAGAAGTTAGAATTCATGAAATTGTCACTGGATTCCTGTCCAAGTCAATGAGTTTGGTCTCTTAACCCGAAGATCGTGAGTTCAATTCATCTCAGTAGAGTGGTGGGTGAATGCTGATGGCGAGGGCCAAACTAGAACGAAACAGCCGGCTGTCAAGTACTCCATGATAGTTTTCAAAGGTTCTCTGAATGACATCAGTCCAGGATTAAACTTTATAGGATAACCATTGAAAATTATTATTACTATTGTAACAACAGAAGACAAGGGTCAGGCAGCAGATCGTATATTGAGAAAATCAACAGGTACTTATAGATTTTTATGTACATTATTGTTATTGTTAGCAGAGAAACAACGTCTTCTGACTGGCTGTTTTCTTGCTGAAGGTTATTCTGTACTGCTTGCAACCGTTTCTTAGAATGTTAAGCCATATATCTACTAATCGTATTTGCACATGTTAAGTCTGATGTGATTGGTTGATGATTTCCTCAAGGTTAATCTTCCTTCGTGTTTTTTCTCATGACCACGATTTGGAAAGTAAACACTGACATAAATTGTTGCTTGCAATTTCGGCTCTCACCACACTATTATTCCTACCTTGTATTCCGACGGGAATATGTCAATTCTGACCTCATTTGCAAATCGTTCCACCACTGTCGTCCGCAAACTTTCATTTCCTCATCACATCAGAACTTATATAACTTCATCCTTGGATGCACAACTCGTCGTTTGCCACTTATCTGCCGTTCAGGGGACATTCTAGTGAGTGATTTCACTCTCAGTGATCTCAATGTATGTCTTATCCGTCTCCATTTCTTCCTTCATATTTACTGAGCTTAGAGGTGAAGAAAAGGCGGTATACGGAAAAACAGGTATTTGACAACAGAATAATAAAAAGTACAGTTTATAAGATTTGTTAAGATTTGGATTCATTTAATCTCTATTGTTAGATTTCATCACAAATCAAAGAAAACAGACAGGAGGGCACTGAACAAGTGTTTTCCCGAGTTTAGGACTTTTCAGTAATATACAATCACGACCCCACCTCCTCACAGATCACATCTAAGACCTTCAAGTTATGAGACTAAGCTTATTGACCATTCAGACATTTGGAGTGGAATTCAATCATTCTTGAATTCTAACCCTGTCATCGCGTGATATGACGTCACCCTCGATCAATGCCATTGGTGGGTATCCGCTTCAACCTTGACACATGATGGAGTCAACTGGTCTCAAACTGGAACGAAACACCTATCTAGTGCTCTTCTTGGTTCATACTACTAACCGACTTATGAACTGTTGCATGTTTTCACCTTATTCCTTTCCTTTCCCTTCCTGATGGAATAAAAGGCTTCAATCTTGAGTCTTGAAGTTTCGGTAGTAGTGATATTTCTTTGTACAAGGCTAACCTCAATACCAATGTAACAACAGAAGACAAGGGCCAGGCAACAGATCGTTTTATTATGAAAATCAACACGTATTTATACATATTTCAACTACATTATTATAGACAAGCGCAGTCATCTGATTGGTTGTTTATCAGAAGTTAGGTAGACAAACGCAGGCTTCTGATTGGTTGTTTCGGGATTCCTTGACAAATAGAGTTCTCTATCTGCGAATCATATTTTGCCACGTTAACTTTGCTGTGATTGGTTGTTGACTCAGCCTTGTTCATATTTTCTCACGGCCCATATTAGTGACCTAGACCTTAACGTAGATTAGTGCCAACCAATCGGCTAGCAGCCTGCTCTCACCACACCAATATCTCCTTTTTACCAGCCTAACTGCCAGCTAAGTGATGTTTACAAATGCATCAGGGTGGTTGTCGAGTATTCTTCTTCCAATGAACTACCGAGGCGCAAAAAACTAAAAGCACCCAATATTTCCAACCGATCACCCATGCACCCATACTTACCAGTCCCAGAGTTGCCTAACTTTGGTGATCAAACAATAATCGATGTTTTCAGTATGGTATGATCGTGTGGGTCTGTGGGGCAATGGATAATGCTTTTAACTTTCTGATCAGGAGACTCTAGGCTCGAATCCTGGCAGGCTCATGAGTAGTTCAATACACATACACACACACACAGAATTTCAGTTTCCAGAGAATATTCTGGTGGAATTTCGTCTTGAACTGTTTCCACTGAAAATAAGGAATTCAATCCAATGTACTTAACTATCACTTCATCAAAGTAGGTAGTCTTAATGCACCATTATGGATAAATTTTGTATTTTGATAAAATTACACACAGTGTGTTTGTT